GAACATAAGAAAGGAGGAAACTGCAGTGGGCCTATTGGTCCATACTGGGCAGTCCCATTTACACCTAACTCCTATTGCTCATATATCCACCCAACCTATGTTTGAAGCTATCCAGCGTATTCGAGTTAATGATGATATTTGGTAACTTGTTCCATTCATCCACCACTCTATTTCCAAACCAGTGTTTATCTATTTCGCGCCTAAATCTAAATTTGTCTAATTTAAAACCATTGTTACGAGTTCGCTCCTGGTTGGATAGTTTGAGTACCTTTGTTTAGCCCTGACTTCCATTTATACACCTCTATCATATCGCCCCTCACTCTACGTCTCTCGAGGGAGTGCAGATTAAGATGCTTTAACCTGTCTCTGTACTTAAGGTTCCTAATGCCCGGGATTAGTCTTGCCATTCTCCTCTGAATTCTTTCTAGGGATTCTATATCCACTCTAATACGGTGACCAGAATTGAACTGCGTAATCCAAGTGAGGTCTCACAAGCGCAAGATAAGTTTTAGGATGACCTCACTAGTCTTGTAACTAACAGTATTTATTAGCCTTGTTACGAGAAAATACACTTTGTTTACTTGGCATAAGATTCCTACTTATCATTTCTCTATAACATCGTTATTCATCTGATATCTGGTTTTTCTGTTTACATCTCCTAGAGTAGACTAAGTACTTTACATTTGTCCACATTGAATTTCATCTGCCATTTTCAGACCATTAGAAAACTTTGTCAAGATCTTCCTGTAGTTTTGTGGAGTCATCGTCAGATTTAATTACACGCCCTATTTTAGTGCCATCAACAAATTTACTCATGTTGCTGTCTTTACCGATATCTATGTCGTTTATCTAGTAGTATTGGTGGTTGAAGTAATGGTGGTAGTTGAATATATTGTACGTATACGGTATATGACTCGACTTTCGTGTGTAAATGTCATATTAGCGGGAAATGTCATAAGTGCTAGTCACAGAGCGGCACAAACGACACAATGATCACATCAGAGGTCACCGCCATAGCCCCTTATCGAAGTCATGGTCAAGTGAGGTCAAGGAGATAATTGTCAGCCTCTTCACTACCTGCTGACCTGACCTGACCTTAGATATATAATTTTCTTATTAACCGGGGCGTTCACTTCCGGGTGTGTGTGTGTGTGTGACCTGTGCTAGACTGGTTAATATTAAGAAAATGCAAATCTATGAAAACAATCAAAATAATCTCTCTCTCTCTCTCTCGGGGTGGTGATGGCGGGGCTAGAGCCGTCATAATATATCGGGTTACGTCCACCATTCCTCCTTTATTATTGTTGAATCTTCCCTCCACCCCCCTCCTCCATCATCCCTTCCTCTCTTCTTTTTTTCCCTCCTCTTCCCTGCCTCTCTCCTCACCTGTCCCCTCTCTTCCCCTTTCTTCCTCTTCATCTCCTTCCGTTCTTCCCCTTTCCTCTCTTCTCCCTCCATTTCTTTCATCAACTTCATCTTCCTTCCACTTCCTTCTCATCCAACCCTTTCACCCTCTCCCCTTCCTGTCTCTACCCACACATACACAGCCATGAACTGCGCACTTCCTTCCTTCCTTACTTCCTCTTCTTCTCTTCTGTGTGACGCACCTCTCTCCTCTCTCTCTCTTCCTGGTGGTAGAAGGGGAGAAATATCATGTCCTCCCTCCCCCTTACCACCACAATAGCTGTTGTGTCGTCGTCGGTAGCAGCGGTGGTGGTAGCAGCAGTAGTAGTGGTATAGTAGTAGTAGCAGCAGCGGTAGTACATGTAGTTTTTGATGCATCATACTCCCCTCTCTCCCCCCATTCCAGTCACTCACCCCCATCCAAGCCATACACACACACACACCTCTTCTTTCCCTCCACCCAGCTAAGCCACTCACCCCCCCCCCACACACACACACACACTCCGAGCTGGTCGAAGCCGTTTCCACACCAGTCACTGCCACATCTAATCCATCCATCCATCCATCCATACATACATACATACATCCATACACACATCCATCCATACCTACCTACCAAACTCTAAAACAACCTTCCCTTTGTTTTTGTTTTATTATAATAGAAACAAGAAATAACATTTATCTTCAATATCTATAAGAAGTACTTAGTTTATTATTAAAATTATATCGTGTGTGTGTGTGTGTGTGTGTGTGTGTGTGCTATTTGTCAGGGTGGTAACGTAGTTTTGGTGATGGCAGCTTAGAATAGGTAGTTGTTGCAGGGTACCAGAGATAGAGGTAGTGGTTCCATTCTTGCAACATGGTAGGTAGACGCCTGCAACATGGTAGATAGACGCCTGCAACATGGATGGTAGACTCCTACAACTTGGTAGTTTCTTTTATCGTGTATAGTAGGTATTGGTGGTTGCAAGAAATAATGATGGTGGTGAAGAATGGTGGCGGTAATGGTAGGGAGAAGTGGGGCGGGGGGAAGTGGTGGTAGTGGGACGAGAGTAGTAGTGGCAGTAGTGAGGGAGGGTAGTGGTGGTAGTGAGGGAGGGTAGTGGTAGTAGTGGTGGTAGAGAAGAATGGTGGTAGTGGCGGGGTGTGCGTGCTGCCCAACAGAGAGAGACACTCTGCCGCTCTAACAAGCCGCGTCCGCTGCTGAGGTCACACAGTCCTCCTCCCTCCTGTGGCCGCTGTCTGCTGCTGCTTCTCCGCCTCAGTCACCTCCCTCCTTCACTCACTCACTCCCCACTCCCTCCCTCCCTCACCAACTCCCTCCCTCCCTCCCCCACCCACTCCCTCCCTCCCTCCCTCCCTCCCTCCCTCACCCACTCCCTCTCTCCCTCCCTCACTCTCTTTATCTTTTTGTTCTTCTCTTTGCTTTTTGTTTCTTACGTGTTTGTATTCCTCTTCTTTCTTCTGTTTCTTCTGTTATCTTCTCGTCTTCCTCTCATATGCTTCCTCCTCTATCGACACTTTAACCTCCCCTCCTCCTCCATGCAACTCCTCCTCCTTCATCTACACCTGCAGTGCTTCCTCCTCCTCCTCCTCTACCAGCAGTTCCTTCTTCCTCCACCAGGACACCACAAGACCACAACCCGTTTATAAGCATCAAACCAGCACTAAACTAACCCTCACTACCTAACCTAACCAGCACTAAACTAACCCTCACTACCTAACCTAACCTATATATAGAACGAATTAATCACGTAGATGAAATCTTGTATAGAGATTTACTAACGGAGGAACATCCTGGCGGGTACAGGTACAGGTACATGGGTTGAAAGGTGGTATCAGGACTGGTGTGTGTGTCGTATATGTAACAGGTGTGTTCCTGCTGTGATAATACTGGTGTCAGGTGTGGACGTGTTGTGATTATGGAGTTTGGTCATTCCCACACCTGTAAATGCCGAAATATACACAGTAAACTTGTAATAAATACGAGTATTGTCTTTCACGAATGATAGGCATTTACATTCCCAACTCAACATACACATACAGCACGTCTACACGCGCGTGCACTCAAACAACTTTGAGTATATTCATAGACCAGCGCAAAGACGTTCTCACAAATAATCTCTCCCAAACAGACGCGCGTGCTAACACACAAACATGTGTGCGCGCGCGCGCACGCACACACACACACACACACACAGCTCCTCCCGCGTAGTAAACGAAACTGTTGTTGTTGCTGTTTTCTTTTCTTGGGACAAAGAGCAACAAAGTGTCAAAATATACTTGTTTATTATGTATATGACCTGTGTATGGTATAACAATCTACCCGTGTGATGGAGTGTATGTTCGTATTTCTTATTTGTAAATTAATATAGAATTTGTATTTGTATCTCAAGATGGCAACGGTAGGTTTAGCGAGTTCATGTTCTTGTTGCTGTTGTTAGCTTTGGGGGGGGGTAGGAGGAGGGGGTTAAAGGGGGAAGGGCGAACTTAAACTTCATAATGTTTCCTGTGGTTTTTGAGAATGTTTCGTCGCAGTAAATATGAAGATCGACCTGTACGTGGCCTCTTTGTTTAATATCAAGTAAATACATTCTAGCTATGGGTTCTAAGGTGATCAACGGTGTGTAGTGTATGATGTGTGAGGATATGAGGTGTATATCCTTGATGCCAGAGTATAACATTGGTAGATATACAACATTATACTAAGATCACCTCCTGGAGTTTTCTACGCACCTACGGATTACCAACCGTCAAAAATTCTTTACGTAAGTTATAGTGGACTGCCAAAATGTTTATTGTAACTCGTGTATGATTGATAGTGATAATGTAAACTTAGTTATATTTCAGTTGTGTTTTAAAGCTATCATATGGATTTATTTAAGTAAACCTTGAAGAGATAACCTCTGAGCGGATGGTAAGACTGATCACGCCACAACACTGCCAGCGTGGAGTCGGTCTACCTAGTGGCGCATAATTTACATGGTTTTAATATTAGCGTGCCTGTTTATATTTGTAAAATCTTTTAGTATTCATGTATTTTCGTTAGGTTACTCCAACGTCAGTGCCAATTATTGAAATTTGCTACAATTTATCAAGCGATTCCTGGCCTGTATATTCCTCTAGAAATATTTTGTGAAGAAAGGCCACGAGCGTGGGAAGAAGTGTATTTAATTCATTTGACACCTTTAGGTAACCAACTTAATTGGAATACATTCGCTTCTTAATGATATGATTTAATACCTAAATGTTTTAATAAAACCAGTCTGGTCATTCTGAACTAGATAAGGCGGCTAAAAGCTTTGCTGATGTAATGTCAACGTGGCTTTAAAGTTGGCGACTTGTGTACGTGCGGCGACGCTAAGTGTTGCCTCAAGCTGCAAGTTAGCGATGTTATACTCTTATTTTTAAAGACAGGCCATAACAACAGTACTTAGATGAAGCTACGAATATTGGTTAATATTATCGATGTAATAGGTAATGAATAAGAGTAAGAACATTAAAGGTAAAGGTTGAAATAGCGAGATGTGTACTGGTGAGTGGCGGTGTGTGGCAGTGGGCGGGGCTGGGTGTTGGGCGATATTAACTGACGACTCGGTCCACAAGGCGCAGTTCGCCAACAGAGAGAGAAAGAGATGGATAGATAGGAGTGTACGCGCGCCAACGGGATCTTTTCCTACCTTTTCTAGCTTCCCAAAGCTGGTAACACACGGCTGGTACTACATCCAAGTGCAAGAAGTGCGGCACCAGTAGTGTCTGCGACGTGATAGTGCAAAAGGCCCAGGCGGTTTGGAGGGTCTAGTCAAGCATCAAAGTGCTACTCAAGAATCTGTGATTTTTCCCTACTTCCCACTGATTGTGATATATTTTTCTTCGCTCATTGATACCTACAAACCGTCAAGATGGTGCAAGGTACGTGTCCCTCTACCTAGCAATTCTGTGTTCTGTGAAAGTTGAGGTAATGATGTCAGGCTTTGAAAGTCAATTTTTGTTTTTCCGTGTTTGGAGAGAACGGTGTGTGTAGAATGTCACTGGTCGTTACTGTATGGTTAGCGTATGCCAGTCTGTATTTATGAAGAAAAGTGGCCGTCAGCTATGTAAAAAGAGATGTATTACGTTTTAGTTAGGGAGGAGGGTGTGTTAGGGCATGTGTGTGTTGGTAAACAAAGAACCCCTTGAGGCGTGCTGTGTGGTTTATCTTCCTACCTATACATTGAAATATACCTTTATTATTGACGCTGATATTCGATATTCTGGACACGTATGCACTGTTAGGAGGAGTGGTTAGTGTCGGGGTGTGAGCAGTGGTGGTGACAAAAGACCAGAAGTGTGCCGGCGAGATGCTGCGAGACGTGGCAACAGTGCGAGTCCTGTTACCATCGAGGCCATCCCTGTTGCTGTCGTTATTGGCTGTTTTACCGTAGCTCTGCCTTTCTCGAAACTTCCTTGTGTGATATTTTAAGATGTACAGAAATATTGATTGTGCAGTTTTCCGCATTTGGACTGGTTGTCACGAAAATATACAAAACTGTTGAATGAAGTGTTACATAGGAGAATTAATATCATGAACAGTTTAATTGTAATTGTTTAAAAATAGGACTGTTGAAACGCAACTGCAAGTCAGGAACATTAAATTGATGCATTAAAAAGTTTAAAGTGATAAGAATAGTTTTACCACAATTTAAACATTATAGAAACGTAGACGATTGTATATTGTATTCTTGTACGTATGTATCATTGTATTTGAATAACAGTTATTTATCCAGATTTGTATTGATATATATATAAGTGTAGGTGATTACGAGTACCAAACAATGAGTATTTGTCATGATACCAAGAGCGTACGTGAATTTTAAAAGGAATGGTCTTTAAGTTTAGTGTCACAGCTATTGATTACGTTGTGTAAATAATTATTGCGAGTAAAATCTCTGACCATAGGTTGTAAAGTTATATTTGTTTTAAGTAATTTCCAAATGTTATTTGGTGATGGAAGTAATTTGAAGTCTTCGTTTTATCTAAATATATTTAGTTTTCATTCAAATATTATAGAAAATGAATAGCTAGATATTAATGATATATTTAAGGTATATTGACAGATTTCTATGTAGTAATATACAGAAAATACATTTTGATATCTTAAAAAAAACTACGGTAATTCAACGCCAGGTTTACGGGAGTAGGATTGGCCTGATTTGTATTTAGCCAAATAAATTCGTTATTATTGCCTGCAATTTTTTTTAAAGATTTTGTTCCAAATATCAAGGAGTACATAGTGATAAATGAAAGGCTTGATATTTTGGGAACACCAGTGACGGTGTCTGTCCCTCACTCGTATTATTGTAAATGATAATCATCATTCTGTGACTAGTGTTATAAAGAGATAATGAGGCGCAGCATGTAGTACTACTAGGAACTGTTGGCAGTAAGTTAGACAAGAGTGTAGTGGTTACTTGGCATGCGGTGGCGACTTGATGTGTCGTAAGAAGTCAAGAATAGCGTTTGGGCAGGTGATCGTCCCTGCCGTGACTCCCCTACCGGCTTTTGTTACTGCTGTTAATTTGTTATATACATCTGTTTTAAGTAGTTCCCGATGCGTATTAATCGTCAGCAGGTGTTGTGGTCCGTGAATATAATAATTATGCATAGCAGGACACAGTTCTGCCTTTAACTTTGTAGGCATTGGTGAAATTTCTAAAGTTGTTTAAACTTCTGGACAAATTGCTTGGTAATTGAAGGATAATATTAACAATGTGATGTTATGGGTGAGTCAGTTGCTGTGGATGTTAGTCTGCTTATATCAAAGGCTGCTAATGAATGGATGCCTTAAGAAACAAGTAACTTATGATGTTGCAATTCACCAGTAACAGTATTTCAAGAACGTTTGGTCACTGTGCATTAAATATTTTTTATTTAATAATCTCAAATTTTCAGCTCCAAAGCATGAAATGTATTGATTAATACAGTATACTGTAGCTGTGGTGACAAGTGTTGGATCACTAACATTGTTATCTCTTTTGTTACAGGAGACGTTACAAGTGTACTGAGAGAGACCACTAACCTGGAGCAGGTGCGTGAGGAGGCGAAGGAGAGACGTAAGAGGCGCAAGAAGAAGCGTTCAGGGTCCACCCTTGTTGCCAGTGTTTTCAGTGGTAAGTAAATATTAATATTTTCCAGTAAAAACATATTTGTGACACTACGATAATTTGATATCTCGAACATGATATTTAAGGGTAGTCAGGACTAGAGAGTTGTTTTTCTTCCCACTCTCTACCAAGAAATATTATTTGCATCAGGTTTTATCACAGTACACCTGTTAAATTGCCCTCTTTTGTCACCTTGCAGATCTGTACAAACTTACCGGTGAGGTGTTGGGACAGGGTGCATATGCGTCAGTGCAGACATGTGTCAACATCTATACAGACATAGAGTATGCAGTAAAGGTGAGTATTGTAGTGTGGACTCTTCAGTGTTGTTTAGTACTAATCTGCTGTTTGGAGTTTGCAGTTCAGTATTTCAATGTGTTCCCCTGTAGAGATATTATTTGCAATTTTATGTTTAAAGTGAAGATTCATAGTTTGACAAAACATTTAATTCCCTCAACAGATCATAGAGAAGGTACCATCACACAGCCGAACGCGGGTCTTCAAGGAGGTTGAGATGTTCCACCACTGCCAGGGACACAAGAACATCATTCAATTGGTTGAGTTCTTTGAGGAGGAGGACAAGTTTTATCTAGTATTTGAAAAAATTTATGGGGGTCCTCTGCTGTCTCACATCCAGCGGAGGACTCACTTCACAGAGGCTGAGGCATCGATGGTCATCAGAGATCTTGCCTCGGCTCTGGCATTCCTTCATAGCAAAGGTATTGCTCATAGAGACCTGAAGCCAGAGAATATCCTCTGTGTATATCCGGACCAATTATGCCCAGTAAAGATCTGTGATTTTGACTTGGGCTCAGGAATCAAGTTCAACTCCAACCTGAGCTCTCCAGTGGTGACACCACAGTTACTAACACCTGTGGGGTCTGCAGAGTTCATGGCTCCGGAGGTTGTTGAGGGGTTCATCAGCGATGATGCCGGGCCCTACGACAAAAGGTGCGATTTGTGGTCTCTTGGTGTGGTGACGTACATTCTTCTGTGCGGTTACCCTCCTTTCTGTGGCAACTGTGGGGAAGACTGTGGATGGGAGCGAGGGGAGGCTTGTAGTCAGTGTCAAGATCTCCTCTTCAACAACATCCAGGAAGGCAGCTATGAATTCCCCAAACCTGAGTGGTCATCAATCAGTGAGGAGGGAAAGGATCTGATACGCAACTTACTGGTGAAGGATGCTTCCCAGAGACTGTCAGCGGAGATGGTCCTTTCCCACCCCTGGATCAGGAATGGCGGTCCCTCAACCCGCCTCGAGACACCAAATGTTATCAGAAAGTAAGTATTGCTTGGTTAATATGAATATTATTTTGTCAATATAAATATACTAGTAGTTATATCAATTACAAATTCACTTAGAGTGGTTGTATTTTATTTTAAATATTAACTATAATAATCAATAATATTCCCCATCTAACAAATTTGGATTTTTTCTCAGGAACCACAGTGCGCAGCAGCTGTCAGTATTTGCTGAATCCTGCATGGCGCTGAATAGGGTCTTACTGCAGCACTTCAGTATGAACCAGGATGAGGATTGTGAGAACATGAATGGGGTTGATCCGCCCTTCGGGTTATCTCCCCCATCAGAGTCCCGACTTGCCCAGCGGCGGCTCCGTTCTCTCAGCCTCAATACTGAGCACCTCCTCACTGCCACCGGCTAACTGGCTCTCTTGCCAGTCACTCAGGGTCAGGTGCTACGCCATGACACCAACATGGGCGTAGCACCATTCTTTTTTCATTCTTGTTTAGGCTTAGGCTTTATTAGCAAGTTTATGCTGCTTAGAATCCTGACAATGGACAAGGAATCTGAACAGCAAGGCTAGCTGTAGGCCATCATTATAAGCCTCAGGTTTTTCTACCTTGTAATATTACAATAATAACATATAATGGAGGTTTAGCCAGCTCATTAATGATCAAATATAAAAAAAAATATATAAAAAATATTTGTTTATTAAGTTTGATATATATGTAGGCACAAAATTTTGAGATATATTTTCATATGGATATGCTTTATTGATTATTGAGTTCAGGACATTAACATCAGTTTTACCTGGATTCTTGAATTTTTGAGTGCCAATAAATAAAACAGTGTGGGCTACAACCAACAGATTAAGTACAAAGATTATTAAAAATCCTTTGAATCTGTCCTTAATGCCACTGTAAAGTAAACTAGGGTTATGAAATGCGCGGCGGTGTGGCTAGCTACCCCCTCCGTGGATGGCGTGTGTGGATCGCTAGGAGTGGGCACTGTGATAACTCTATTAGTGTGTAAGTTGAGAACGGACCCAGTCGTAATATTGCTTGGAATAATGTTTCTCTTTGTGTGTGGTGCTTAGTAACTTAAGTTCATAGTAGTAATCCCAGTAAGTGCCTACGCTTTTACAACGTCATAGTTGTGACACTTAAGTCCCAATTTATTTGGATGATTTTGAAAGAGCATTGATTAGGTTCAATAAAATTAGGTCCATACAAGCCAGAGGGTCAATTCAGGGCAGTTCAGCTTAAAAAACATTTTCATATTTATACAAGAAGCTTCTGTATAAGCTTGTCAGTTCTAGTCGCATTTGAGAATGCACAGAACGCTCTAGTTTTGTTTTTGCTAGAGCGCTGTATCAGCTACCAGACTTATTTTGTGGCGAGAGTAGCAATTTACACTCGGTAGAGGCAGATCACTCAACATCTTCAGTTAGTGGTAAAACAAAGGAAGCCATGGTGATTCTGTATACAAGGTGCAGTACTGCTGCTCGCTCCACATCTAGGGAAGGAATTGTTCCCGAGCCATGCCCTCTGGTGTGTCACCCAGTTTCAGGGAGCCTGTGCTGGACCCCTGGAGGGCCACGCAGGCATGGCATCCGACACAAGGCTGCCCATTAAGTGATGACGTGTGTACCTGGAGTGCCATGGCTTGTGCGCACGCTGCCCCCGTCCTGCACGATCCACACACATCTGTCCCATACAGTAGAGTTACGTTTTGTTACTGTTTTCTATCTTTTTTATACATTGGACTAGGAGATAAAAGTACGAGTTGATTACTTTTTAAATTTGCCAAAAAGGTTTTGTTTCCTGTGGGGTGAAAAAGCCTCCCCCGAGTTTGATTTTTTCACAATTGGCTTTGTCTGCCTAGTTTTGTACCTTGTTCCTTAAATGTAGTCATAGATGGTCATGAGAATTACCCAAATTAATTTGAGTATACCCAAATTGAAGTAAATTTTTGCACATTGGATTGGATTTTTGTCATTTTTCCCTTAGTATGGGATATACTAGTGAAGACATCTTAGGCTCCAGAGGTCTTAGACAGCCTATATGATATTTATTTAAGTACTGTACTGAACATTGTGGCTTCATTTGGGCTAGTTCACTTTTATTTAGGTACATAGAGGTTCATTTGGGTAATTCAGAAGATCCATCTTTGATTACCTTTCATTTACTAAGGTAGAGACTGGATGCTTAAGACAAAGAATTTTTTGGGGTGCAAGTAGGGTTGCTGTGGTAGCTTGTCCTGCCGTGTTTCTCCGTCACCTTGGACAGGCTGATAATTTATCGAAAATAGTTCTATTAGATGCCGGTATGCCCCGTGGTCTGCTTTACGTGTTGCCCGGGCTGCCTATTGACCCAGTGAAGTAGGTGCAGTGACCAAGGTGAAATGGAGAGGCAGTGGTAGGTGGGCCACCACAGTGACTGTATTGTAACCACCCCCACAACATTCCTCATCCATCATTGTATCATACAGCTACGCGGTCGATCCACAAAACTGGTCCATGCTTTTCTCCAGCTCCTGTCATATCATGATCTCATTTTTGTTTGGCCTAACAGGGCTAGAGAGATTCATTGAACTCTTTTTTTAATTTATTTGTCATTTCTTGACGAATCCCATTGCTAACTTCATCAAGCCATTAGTAGCCGAATTTCTAAACAACACAATAACACATTACATAAATTTATATTAGTAATTTTTCTAGAAAATATTCTGAAATTTTTCAAAATTGTGGGAAAGTACAGTTATAGTGTTGTTTGTTAATTACGGATTGGGAGTAGAGTCCATGCGATAGTAGCTCAAGGATCGACCACGCTGCTTCATCTTCATCCTTGTCTTCCCATTGTACCGCCTAGCGCGATAGGCAGTATGAGAGGAGAGAAAAAATGTTATCTCGAAAGTGGCCCCCTTCTCGCCCTCGATAGACAAGCTAATCCGAACTTCATCCAGGGCGACACAAGGAGATCTTCCTCTGTTAAAAACAGCCTGCATTAGCTAGTCTCATCACAAATGTCAAGCGATAGCAAAAGCATATAAGGATAAATATTAATCGCCATACTGTATATGGAATAATTTATATCATGGAATTTATATATGTAATTATTTGAAGAAGGTATAGGGAGGCCCCTGTATGTTACCGTATGTGGTGTACCTGTACTACATAGGATGGTACGAACACAAGTATTTTAATAAAGTACTTGATGGTAAAAAAGCCGACATTATCTTGTACTGGACCCTGTGCTCGCTGGAACACCTCAATAAATGAGCGTCACCAGGGAGGAAGTGCAAATAAAAGTTATCTTTTTAATACCTGGTTTAGTTGTCCCCTTAATACTATACACTGTTTTATATGTAACATTGTGTTCTTTGGTTTTAACTGAACTATCTTAATAATGCTCCAGATATGTACCTTACTTTCTGAGAGTTGTAAGAGAAAGGAGTAACATATATGCCAAGCCTTTAAATTGAACATATGTAATGTAGAAAATTAATTACTGAAGATTGATTAGAAAAAGGAAAATAATGGTAATTTCAGAATGTAAACATTGATAAAAATGTTGCATTCATTCCTGTACTACCATAGTGCTACCATCTTCATGTATACCATTCTACCAACATTATTTGTATACACAATCACCACCATTTGCTGTACATAACCACCAGCACTAACGACTACCATCACTACCTCTTATTACACTACCACCACCTCTTGCACAACACTACCACTTTATCACCACCATATTTATCACTTTACCACCACCATATCTACCACACTAGCCCCACAACTTGTACTACCCTACCACCACCTATACCTTACATTTAAAGACTATTCTATATTACCGAAAACGTTATCCACCACCAGAATCTGTAAAGGGTTGGGCTGTTGTAGCTAACAGAGGAACGAGTAAGTGAATTATGGAGTTCAAAGTATGTTATGTCCGTGTTCCCATTACAGTATTAACCAAACAAGGGAGGTCTTTTGCAGCTCAGTTTGGTAATGAGAGATTGTTAGTTGGTATCCTACTGTCCTAGTCGAATAAGGCAAATACTGTTCTGTATTTTTTAGACTTCTTGGAAAGTATTCTGTATATTTTTCTTTTATGTATAATATTGTCTTTAAGCACGAGTCGACAATTTATATACATTCTTACACTCTTGTATAAGGAAATGTCCACCGTAGAAGTCTTTAAAAATTCAGTCTCCTGAAAATAAACATAAAAGTTAAGCAGGTCAAGCAAGGGGTGGTGTAATTATATAGAAAATTGAATGAGATACGAGCCACTATGATGGTGTGAGTTTAAAATATTTACACCGATCTGGAGATAAAGTGTAGTGAAGACAGTAAATGATGGATGGATGTGTGTGTGTAAGGTGAGGTTATTGTACAATATGTTGATGAGAAGTGGCTGCATGGTGTGTATGGAGACATGAATAGTCTGTATGTGTTTTATTCAACCTGAGTAGATAATAGCAGGGGCGGATCCAGGAATATCAAAAGATGTTCCAAGAAATTTTTGGGTGGGAGAACATGGCGAGCAAAACGAGCCCACCCAGCTTGGGGTGGGGGGTGCATTAAACCCCCCAGAAAATGTTTTGAAATCTAACCAATATCATGGACATTTTGAAGCCATGTGTACTTGATATTAGGAGATATTTTGAGATTAATAATAATTACTTGTACTTTACAAATATGATTGAGCACAATTCTGAAATAAAGAAAAAATATTGGAATTTTCTGGAGAAAAGGGGTATCTGGATCCCTTCCCTTGGATCCGCCCGTATAGTAATTTTTCGTCTGCTATAAATTCATCTTGTCCTGACGTGGCACCTAGCACAAATCTACGGGGATGACACTCCATATCTACGAGTTGTGTATAATTTATAGAAAATAATACTAAGTGATTTTTTTACGGGGATTAGCCCACCCGGGCACAGGTCACTGATCCACATCGCGGCCTGGGGAGGGGGGTGAAAATAATGATGATGATGATAATAAAGAAATACAAAAATGAAAAAAAAAGATAAAAAGTGAAACAATATATGTATGTTGTCTTGTCAATAGTAAGCGAAACAATTGAGACCCTGCAATTGTGTGTAAATGAGGCAGAAAGTCAGATCAGCAACCTGGAACTTGGTCACAATTTTCGTGATGCCATATGGCAGCAGGATCCACCATTAGACAACACATTATGCTTCTTACTTAGAAATAACAGATTTGTTTTGTAAGCTACGTTGCAGCCTGGTTGGTTAACAGTAGTAATAAGTAGAATTTGTAAATATCCTTGTAACCTGTTACCTCGACGGCTTATCACTACAGCAGTTAGGTAGTGTGCACAGTTCATTTGGGTTTGTATACGTGCCGGAGAAGAGATGCAATATTGCAAGCAGGGCCGTCCCTAGGGTATGGCAACCGGTGGCACCGCCCCGCTGCCCTTACCTGACCCATGGACACCAGAATTAGTGACCGCGTTAAGCTGACTTTACCTTACCACCTAGATTCAGGAGACCACCTGAAGGATTAGTTAAGCAATGCATCTGCTGACATTCTTTACTGTGCTTTCTCTCGAAGAGGAGTGAAGACGTTAACAGCGGTTACCTGTTAGTGTTGTCGAAACTCTGAATCTCCAGTTGTGTGTGATTTGTGTTTTGTGAAATTGTTGCTATACATTATTTGGATCACCCCAGAATGTCCACCTGAAGTATCGTCACCCCAGTATATCCCACCTGAAGAATTGTCACCCCAGCCTGCTCCACCTGAAGAATCGTCACCCCAGCCCACAGTGAATATAATTTGTATAATTAGGATAACATAAATCTATTCCTTTGTGTTATGTTATCTTTATTGTGAAAAGTTGAAATAAAAAGGAAGAAGAATAATATACACCTAACCATGGAGGGTCCTGACCCTACCTGAAGAATTGTCACCCTAGGTGTTGCCACCTGAAGATTCATCACCCCAGGATATTCCACCTGAAGAATTGTCACCCTGCCAAACTCTGGGGTGACAATTCTTCAGGTGATTCCATTATTTTAGTAACGTACACAGCCCTCGTTTTTGTATTATACCATGGCCAGCAGGGAGAGAGACAGATACAGAAAATACATCTCGGGTGCAGAGAGAAGGCAGAAAATGGGAAGAGAGAAGAAAATGAAATGTCAGTGAAAGTTCCCTCGAAAAATATGTGTTTTCAAAAACACCAGAAACTAGTGCAAAAAAGGACCTGTGGGTTATATACAAGGTGAGGAAGAGGAGAGTACTGAAAAAAAAATACTTAAAGGCTTTTAAAATGGACTTGTACCTATGCTAACGGGCATGCTGATGAAGATCTATGTGGTCCAGCCAACTGGCCACATTTACTGGATACTACGACAATTGATATTTTGGTATAAAGGAGACCTGTTAAGGTATCTAGTGAAAATTATGTTTCCCCAAAATGGTGAAAACAGACACTTTTCAGACGACTTTTACATGCGAAGATTGCCAAATGGAGAAATATATGAAAGATGTTATAACAGAGTAAATTACACAATACTTGGCATAGTAATAGTATGATTGGGGAATTAACAATATGTATATTACAGAGTATGTATGTAACTATAATAATAAATGTTAACCTCCTTTATTTCATATATATATATATATATATATATATATATATATATATATATATATATATATATATATATATATATTAAGAATGCAAAGGGGCCCCGCAGTGGATGAATTGCCCTGGGCCCCGCACCCTCCTAGGGACTGCTCTGACTGCAAGGTACTGTATGTGTCACCAGGAAAATTATCCCTTGTTATATTATATTTTAAGTCATGGCATTGTACAGTACTATTTTTATTTTAATCGTGACAAAATTTATACTGTAATAAAAACCAACGCTCACCCCATATATGACCCACAACGAGAAGACATTTTCTTGTGTCATAATCTACATGTTTTGGTCAACAAACAATGTTACACCATTGTAGATATTACTTAGCAGTGTAAACACAATTAAAACTAGATTTACAGCTGTAGAGTTGGGAAAGAAGAAACAATGTCAAGAAAAAGTGTATTTCAGGAGAGAGGATTTTTTTATCACCACCATAACTCAGACTGAACATATAAGTTTAGTGTGTAATAGGTCGACTGTGTCAAAGACACTAATAAAATAAAGAAAAATACATCCTATAGGAATTATTGGCGCTGTTACTAGAGTCAAATATGAGTCTGTAGAAGGCTAAACTTATATATTATACTTAACAAAAATATTACTGAAGTTGAATGTGTGTTTACAGGCGGCAGTGATGACAGACTCAACTTCCTCAACATAAAAGTGACAGACAATCAGCCTCTGACACCATCTTCCAGTAATAGTAAGTCGTATAAATTTCAATAAATGTATAAATAGTCATAAACTTTTAGTGGTCATAAAAATTCATGTGTAGAACCCTTTTCCATGATTGTATTTAGTAAGAAAGAAAGAAATTACTGTGAATTCTGAATATGGAGCAGGCTCTCCTTATTTTCTCAGTTTTCTCTATTGGCAGCGTAACGTCAGGGTAACTTGTAAAAAATTTTGGTCACTGGTGTTGAACTTTTTTGTAAAGTCCTAAGTTCTCAAACAACAATACATGTCAAAGTAATGTTTAAATACTGTATAGAGAAATTGGTGGTATCACGATAATACTGTACCTACAAAATTGGACAGTGTCTCTGACAAATACTTGAATTCTTCTTGATGAAGGTGTAGTCACCGTCCCAGTAGTAGTAGAGCATGTAGCCTCGCTCGGTCATGAACCTGACGAAGTAGTCATCCTTCCCTCCTGCTGGGTCGTGTGCGTTTACATAAACTACCACCTTTTTCCTAACTTTGACGACCTCATGTGGTGATGGCTTCTCATTCTCCTCGTGTGCTTCTTTGGTGTTTTCCTCCTGAAGGTTCTTCGGTAGGGGGTCCTCGGTAGCCTCCTGGTACAATTCCCTGAACTTGGTGTTGGTATCTCGGTGTTCTATGCTCCACACGGTGACGTCAAGCTTTTCCCAGGGTAAAGTGATGAGGATATCAGCCTCGGCGCCCTCCACGTCAAGGCTGAGGTAGTGAACGGTGGTGGTATTGAGGGCCAGCAAGTAAGAGATGAGAGGGAAGCACTGCACCATCTCACGTACCTTCACACCCATCCTGCCACCTGCCGGGGACGACACTCCAGCTAGGTTACCTGTTGATCGCACCTGTTGAGGAAAGGACTCGTCGTTACAGGTGTATTCTCATCACTGCAGGTATACAGGCACTGTAAGCACGTCATCGTCATTTGAGTATATACACTGAGCACTGCAAGTAGCACCGTACACGCCACCGCCTATTGTTATTATTATTATTATTATTATTATTATTATTATTATTATTACACATACGTCATCAGAGTGGCTGACTTGAACTTGTTCTTAATGATTTCGTCAATATTCTCTATCTCAGTCTACTGACTACATTATAACACATATGAGAGACCAAAATAACTTAATTTTGGTTACTTGATTAAAAGTAATTTTGAAGGTTCATAGTGGACATTATACTGCTAAAGTCCTGCCCTTAGACATGATAATGTTACCCTCTGTACACAAGAGAGACTAACAACAACAACAAAAATATTTTATCACATACTGTACACCCATAAAATGACCAGCTAGATTTAAGAGTTTATAATTAAGCACGTAGATATTAGTGATCACAGCACTATCTCTCGGTTGAAATTGTCATCACTCGTCACTCACATATGTCCACTGGCTCAGGAGTTTCACTTCTTAGGAAGTATTGTGCTCTGGGTCTCGGCCATTCAGGATTTCAGGGAACACATTATGGAGAGTGAGAAGATAATTAAGTGTAAGTATTGTGAAGAAGAAACTCTATATAGTGTTTATTAAGGTAATTGTACTTCGAGCAGTAACAATTATGGCATACGAGAGAGTAAATGGTCATGTTTGTGACTTGATTCCTCCATTAACGAGCATGGCTGTTGTTAAGGGATGAGTGTTGACTTCTGGGTATTAATACAGTTTCAGCCACAACTCGGTTAGAGCAATTTTGTGTTAACCATTAGTTATTTCTTGTCATTAGCAACAACTTTTTCCAATACCACTTCCGTAGCAAATGGATATTAAACGAGAAAGTAAATTCACGTAAGAAATTAACATAAATCTGCAGTCATTGCGTGTTGTCTGTTGTTTGTCTGAGCTTACTCTTGCGTCCGTAAAAATCCATAAAATTACACAATGATACTTTAACAAAGTTGCTTTCATTGGTACCAGTCTACCAGATATCAAAATACTGTAAATACTTTCTCCTTAATATAGCGGGGACGGCTAGGAAGTTAGCTAAGGCTTGGTAGGTTTATTTGGTTGGTTAGGTCAGGTTGTATGGGTGCCAAAATATGTGGTCGAGCAGTAGTTGTGGCAGAAACTGTAAATATACTGACTGCTGTGTGTGGCAACTGTACACGTGGAGATTATTTACAATTATCAACTTTTTCAGAGCAGTGACGTGTTGGGTCAGTGATGTGGTCATGCTGGAGCAACAATAATATTAAGTAGTGGAGGAGTATCATACCATAGACCACCCTCCATTAATACAAAGGTTGGTTCATAATTCTTTGGTAATACTGCAGTACATGGCTTTCCCAGCATTATGTGTAGTTATTTTATATTGTTATCATGTTTTCAGGATTATATATATATATATATATATTGCAAAAATAATGAATGATTTTTTGGGGGAGGGAGTAATGGTAAAAATTTAGTTTTGGTCATCTTGTATTTAGAAATCCATAGTAACTTAACCTGATGTAACCTAATCTAACCAACCTAACCTAACCTAACCAGAGAGGCTTGGCCCCCCCTAGACCACCATAAGATTCCTCTGGATGTCCAAACTAAAATAAAACTGGAATAACGTTAATGTCTGAGAACAGCACTATCACCAGAAGGAGTTGTTCAATTTCGTTAATTTTTTCCACATGTTCCTGTCATTATAGTAAGTATTTTAAAAGATGCAACATTTACTAGAACATTATTGAACCTGACCTAACCAACCAAAGAAACCTACCTAACAAAACCAATAACTTCCTAGCCGTGGGGTTCCACCCTATTAAACAGAAAGTACTTATTTTGCTGTCTGGTTCTAATGAAAGTAACTTTGTTGAAGCATCATGGTGTATTTTTTAAATTTTTGTGGATGTGAGAGTACACTCAGGCTGAGCAGGTTGGTTGTAAGCAAACTGAACAGTCGACAACACGCAGTGACTCGGCAGTTTTTTGGAGAAGTATTCTTGGTAAATAATGAATTTCTAAACGTTCCCTCATCCTTTATGCCCTGCCCACTACACGTGATTTATGATCGTAGATAGAGAAAAACTAAAATAATATAAAAATACAGTACTTATAATTCATATAAAAAGTTGTCGCCTCTTTTAAAATACCTACTTCAATTTTCAATTTCAATTGTTTATTCCTTGATAGAGGAAGCGGGATCCTAATGCTGTCACTAGGTACCCCTGTAATACCTACTTTAATGGTGAGAATATCTGGAAAGAATAAACGAAATCAAACAACTCCTTCTGGTGGCAGCGGTGTTCTTGGACATTTCCGGAATAACTGTACAGTAACTTGAAGAGTATTTTTTTTTATCAGACTTCATTGAAACTAATTTTGTTTAGTTTATTATTTTTATCCACCATTGAAATATATTTACCCAGTATTGTCTTAAGAATTTTATTGGCAAGACAAGACAATAATCAGATGAGTACTACAGCGTACGAGGTAATCCCTTTTTTCTCCAAGTGGCTTTGGTGCTCTGGCAATTTGAAGACATCATATTATGATTTTATTAGGAATTGGTCATTGAGTGACATAACCCCTTCTACGGGGGACGCTACTTTTAACATTGTACAGTATATGGACCACACGAGATGGGCGCATGTTCGGTAATTGTTAATAAGATGTTCCTGATACAGTATTTACCTGTGTGTACATGATTAAAGTAATTGTCATTGTTCTTGAGGTAACATAAAGATTAGCACCCTACTGTAGTATATTTCTTCCTAAGGTTAACCTCCCAAATGCTAACCAAACCTGACCTAAATATGCTGGGAGGCTGATATTATTATTATTATTATTATTATAATAATTTTACATACTGTTGGATAAAGCAGAAGCCAAAGACAATATATTTTGCTATTTCTTGTGATGCATCTATACAGTATGTGGCAAAGGTTTCCAATGGCAAGATGTCAATAGTTTGGGTCTGTTAAACTCAGACATAACTTATTGGAATTATTTTATAAATTTGCCTGAATATGCATATCATGTGGAGGGATGTTATTTACTTGCTGTACTGTACGTTAAAATGACTTTTGGGAAACACCGCAGTAATATGTAAGAAAGTTTTGCGACTAAATTGCATTTTTCAGAGATAATTGTATCGGGATGTTTTATTTTGACGTACTGTCCAATTTTGGTTAAAGAATAAGCATTAGGATCTATGACAAAGCAAAACCAAAAATATCCCAATAGCTACAGTTCACCAGTTATTTATGTTGTTGTTTGGTTCTGGCTAATTAATACAACCATACACTGCTATTTCTCACTCTAGCAGGAACTTATTACTGAACACTGCTACAGTTTGGGGTATTTTAAGATTTGGCTTTGATTATTTAAATTTTCTGGTACAATGGAGCCAGTTGCAATGTGGGACAGGGGAATTATATTTTTTTTCTTTTTATTGTAAATTAACATTGTGCTTTGGCCCAAATCTACCATATAAATAAGATATTATTTGTTTATTTTATCTATTTTTTTATGGAATTACTCTGGGTTCATTCCTCACCAGTAGTTGATGAATTATGCTGGTGGTCTGGTAAGCTCGGTAGCTCTCAAAGGTAAGCTTTTGTGGGTAAGGTGCTGGTGAGAGGCAGGTGTGGGATGACCAGGCTCTCCGTTTCTTACCTGTGGGAGGGACAAAATTAGAAATTGAGATTTTTTGTGTGTACACTGTACAGTGTATGCTACTGTATAGTATTGTATATACACTATACTGTACTCGCCAGCAGATGCTGTTGTCTTGGGTTTGTGGTGCAGGCACGCCAAATGTTGATATATTGATACAGGATGGCCTGCTTTTGTCCTGTACCATCTATTGTAGCAGGTGTTGCTAACTGTCATTCTCCTTTCCCTCCATGAAGGAGGGATTGTACATGCACTCAGTCACATTGTATACTGTATGTACAGTACTGTACTATACATACACCTGTACACAATAGCCTATAGTAGGAATACACTATCCACTCTTCTGTACATAGTACTGTACTGTATGTATGGTATTTCCCACTTATAGTATGTACAGTACATGTAACTGGAAATAATTTTTATGTCTTAATACTGCTTTAACTGATTGTGTCATGGTACAGTACGGTAGTGCATGACACAAATTGTACGAAAAAACAGTAGCAAGCAAGGGAACAACCTTGTACGTTACAATGGTAACAGAATACAGTACTAAGCTCGTGAACCTATGGCTTAAGTAACCTAAGTAGCTAGCTTAACCAAGCGCCCAGCATGTTGGGACGCATCAGTGTCTGATGCAATCTCTTGGAACTCTTAGAAAATTTGTTCCCGTGCCTGGTATGGAGAGATTTTTCGTAATTTTCTCGTAATTTCTCTGGAAAATTGCGTACGATTTCCTCCTTGGAGACTCGTTCCCATGCCCGGAATGGAGAGTTTTCCCGGAAGGCTCAAAATTCATTCGAGCTATTGGAGAATTCTGGGGGCCAGAGATTTTGTCTTACTGGAAGATAGCTGTATAGTGTATGCCCTCCGCTTCTTGCCTGTGGGAGCGAGATAATTAAGAGGCTAAGCTACTTGAACAGTACAGTATACTATATATTGAGTACAGTTAAGTGGAGATTATTTGGCTCTTATTACAGTACCTACAAATTATGTTGTATTGTCTTTAAATAATTGTAACTAATGGTCATAAATTTCAGTATTAATTTCATAGAACCTCGATATAATGAACTTTCATCTCCGTATAGTTAGTTGTATGGAGATGTAATATCTAACTGACCCTCAGTATAATGGACTTTTATCTCCATATGGTCTGTCAAATAGAGGTTTAACTGTAGCATCATAGTACTGTAGTAATTCTTCACACTTACCTGGGAGAGCATCATATAAGACAGGGTCGGCCTCCACCAGCAACCCAGTCCAGCCTAGTTGTTGCTCCAGGTAGAGGGTGTTGGAGATAAATTCCCCATCTAGTGCTCCTGCCTCCAAGAAGAACCCTGGAGGTGTGTCGGAGAACAGCCTTTGGTGGTGGAGAGATGAGAGGGGTTAGAGTAGTATTAGGAGATGGGAAAGGTGTTACTAGGAGATGAGAGGTGTTACTAGCAGAGATGAGAGGCGTTACTAGCAGAGATGAGAGGCGTTACTAGCAGAAATGGAAGGGTTAGAGTAGTATTGGGAGATGAGGAAGGTGTTACTAGAAGATGAGAGGTGTTACTAACAGAGATGAGAGGTGTTACTAGCTGAGATGAAAGGGGTTACTAGCAGAAATGAGAGTGTTACTAGCAGAAATGGAAGGGTTAGAGTAGTATTAGGAGATGAGAGGCGTTACTAGCAGAGATGAGAGGTGTTACTAGGAGAGATGAGAGGGGTTAGCTGAGATGAAAGGGGTTACTAGCAGAAATGAGAGTGTTACTAGCAGAAATGGAAGGGTTAGAGTAGTATTAGGAGATGAGAGGCGTTACTAGCAGAGATGAGAGGTGTTACTAGGAGAGATGAGAGGGGTTAGTTGTTTTTGCCAAGGTGTGTTATATTTGGCTCTCTAGGGTGATATATGCAGTACAGGTACTGTATTTTTATTTTGAAATTTAATATACGTATACTGTATATATTTTTTGTTGGAGACATTATACACTTGTGTACCTTTACAGTATTCTTAAATTACAGTTAAGTATTTTTATGAATTATTTTGTATTTTAGATGTCTGATACAGTATACTGTATAGTACAGAATGCAAGGGTGGCGAACCTTTTTGAGAGCGTGTGCCCAAATTGGCGATAATAGGGGTATGCTATAACGAATCTAATTGGTTCTAGAACCTCGTTCGTTATAGCATTTGTTCGTTATTGGATTAATCCGTTTCAGGCCCCCAAATACAACCACTTAACACTGAAAATTTTCTGTGGAAATTGTAAAAAATTCGGTACTTTATCTTACCTTAGTGTTGTTCAGCATGCAGGACAGGAGGCAGAGGAGGAGGGGTGAGGAGAGAATTATGGAGAAGAGGTGGAAGGAGAGGAGTCATCTTCAAACAATTGTTTGGCCTTCTCACAAATTATAGCTTCACTAATGCTATCACCTGCCATTTCTTTCTCCTTTATCCACACTAAGAGTAAGAGTGGTATTTAAAAAAAATTATAGAGAAAGAGAACAAAATGCTTGAAAGCATTCTTAGAGAAGTCTATTTAGGCAACCAGTAACTCTTCTGAATTGTTTTAAATGGGGCAGCCTTAGGAATTACATGTTATTTATAACTAGTAATTCACAAGAGGTAAAATTAATGAGTTACGTGACAATAATAATGGACCTTCATTTTAGAAGAAAGGAGGAGTCCTGTTGCTTATTTATGTGTATTAATTTTTTATACTATTAACAAAAGTACAGTATAACAGAGAGAGATTGAAATAAATGAAAGCATTTTAGAAAAAGCCTGTTCAAAGAATTATTAATATCAGTGTTTTTAAAAAGACAATTGAAAAAACATCATTTATAAATAGTAGTGTACTGTACCTTATAACGAATACAGCATATATATATATATATATATATATATATATATATATATATATATATATATATATATATATATATATATATATATATATATATATATATATATATATTATCGGTGGGGTTTAAAAAATCTTGGGGCGGCAGTGCATGCCGCGTGCCAAATTTTTTTATTTGCGTTTTATTTGTGTTTGGAGTATAGTAACGCTTTGGTTTAAAAGTGCTAGATTCGGGTGGTGACATAGGTTAGGTTAAACTAGATTAGGTTAGGCTAAGCTAGGTTAGGCTATCCTTGGTCAAATTGCCTTACTGCTTACTATTCTTCTACACATGCACTGCCAATGTACATAGGAAACTGTATAGTATGCATACATACTCCAAATACCAACAGTATCTATATTCATACTGAACTGTATACCTGCATAGCTTATATACTGTACATGCCTATCCATTTGTAAACCTGAAAGACAATTTTAGTGATTATATATCATTATTATTACTTTTTACATTTTACTTTTATCCTCTTCACCACTGATCGGCTAGTTAGCCACTTGGGCAATCGGTCACGTCTTTGTTACGCACTGTTACTTTTACTTTTATCCTCTTCACTACTGATCGCCTCGTTAGCCGCTTAAGCGATCGGTCATGTCTCTGTTACGCACTGTTGCCAGGTACTGGGCATGCACCGGCTCCTGAATGTACCTAAACCCGCTACAGTGTTGGTCAAGTTTTGTCTTGAAAGAGCTCACACTCGGTGCCGTCACAACACTTTCTGGTAGATTGTTCCAAGAATTCACAACTCTCACTCCGAAAAAGTTTGCCCTCACAGTTTTCTGGACTTGCAGCTTCTTCAACCTTGAGCTGTGACCCCTTCTGGAGTGAGTGTCTGCCAGCTCCAGGTAAGGGCACTCGACTGAGTAGTGCCCTTCGAGATATTTATACACCTCAATTAGGTCTCCCCTCGCCTGTCTGTTGTATAAGCTAGGCAATTTCAGGCACTAATCTCTCGGGGTAGCTGAGGTGTCATAGTGCAAGCACCAGTCTGGTGGCCCTCCTTTGGACATTTTCAATCAACTGACAGTCCCTAGCATATCTCGGGGACCAGGCGAGGTGACAGTACTCCAGACGGGTAAGCACTTCACTCACGAAGATCGTTACGAGGGACGGTCTAGATATCTGAACGACCTTCTTATAAGGTCTAATAATTTAGTTGCCCAACTCACCTTCTAGCAATGGCCCTAGAACTTCAGCTCGTTTTCAACATACCCGTACACACCTAAGTCCTTTAACATTCATTCTCAATTAATGCAGTTTCTTCATTCCGTTGGTATATATGATACGCCTCCTTACCCTTGGTACGTCCCAGGTGCAGCCTTTTACACTTCGTGACATTGAATCTTAGCAGCCATTTCTTTGACCATTCTTGAAGCTCACAGCGATCCTTCTGCAGCTCTTCACAGAGTGCTTGTTTCTTAATTTCCCTAAATTACTTGGCATCTTCTGCAAACATTTGTATGGAGGAGTGTACAGCATCAGGCATGTCATTTATGAGGCAAACAAAGAACAGCGGGCCCAATACACTGCCCTGTGGTAGCCTACTTGTGACGGGTACACGTGATGATTTCGTGCCATTAATCTCCACACACTACTTGCGGTCATAGAGAAAGTCTCCGATCCACGCGAGGACATTTCCCCGAATCCCATACCCTTCCAGTTTAATTTTCAGCCTTTCCTTGGGGTACACTGTCAAAAGCCTTGGCAAAATCTAAGTATAAATTGTCGATATTACCACCCTATTCCAGAATTTGGGTCCAAATATCCAGTAACTTGAGTACTTGTGTTAAGCAGGAGCGCCCCGGCATAAAACCGTGTTGGCAATCCTTTACAAGGTTGTTTCGTAGTAGATGTTCCATCGTGGCATCTCTTTTAATGCTCTCAGATACTGTACTATGCTGGTCAGGCTCACCGGTCTATAGTCCCCAACCACTGGGGACCTTTTGCTCATCGATGCATTTACAGAACTGGATCTTCAGGGGCTCAGCAAGCTCGTTGCACATCTCTCCTAGCACTTAGGATACATCATGTCAGGGCCGGGTCTCTTCTGTACCTTTAGCTGACAGTTTATTTCTTATAACTTCTTCTGTGAACACAGAGGAAAAGAAACTATTCAATGCCCCAGCTTTGTCCTGGTCAGAATCTGCATAACTACCATCTTCAAGCCTCAGGTCCGATACTCCTACTCGCGTTTTTAATTTCGACTGCATAGCGGTAAAACGCTTGCAACCAGCCTCTGGAACTCCTTTTCAGCCCTTCTACACTCTGATTTTGCTTGGTTGCTCGCTCTTGCATACATCCTCCTGCCTTGCTCATCGTTTGACCTAACCCACGCCTTGAATTTCTGGGTTTATTATTATTATTATTATTATTATTATTATTATTATTATTATTATTATTATTATGATGATGTTTGTCTTGTCTCTCTAGATGACAACACTTATAAAAGATTAATAATGAAGTCCCAGAGTTTGTTGTGTACCGGATTTTTTTTTTTACTGTCAGTTCAATGTGTTGATTCCTCTAGGTCTCTTCAGTGCTCAAGAAGACAATGTTTGGTCATAAAATACTGCAGTGTTTCCGCCCGGGATCGAACCGGGGACCTTGCGCGTGTGAGGCGCACGTGATAACCACTACACTACGGAAACCGATATAGGTTGCATGTTTTGTAATAAAGTAATTTCATGAATACTCTAGTGACAAAATAATTTACACATTATTGCATCAGTACTGTACTGTACTTTAAGTGTTTGGATAAAGGTTATGCCAGAAGAGTTATACACTGTTGGTGGTTTTAAAGTTAGCTGCAGCCCTTGCATTTTTACTCTGATACGAGTGAGCAAAAAAAAGAAAGAAACGGAAGTACAGTACTTTACTTTATCCTCTTCCCCACTGATCAGCCTGTTAGTCTCTTGGGAGGTCGGTCAAATCTCTGTTACACAGTGTTGGCAAGTACTAGGCATGTACTGTACTGGCTCCAGAATATATTTTTACCTGTGTCAGTGTTGGTCAGATGTGGTCTTGAATGAGCTCATACTTGTTGCCGTCACAACTCTCTGTGGCAGATTGTTTCAAAATTTCACAACTCTCACCAAAAAAGTTTGCTCTGACAGTTTTCTGAACTTGTTGCTTCTTCAATCCCTAGTGGGGCAGGTATCTGCTAGTTCCAGGTATGAATACTCGACTGAGAACAGTAATGCCCACTGAGGTGCTTATAAACTTTTGTTAACCATTTGACTGTGGAGGTTTCCTTAAGCTGAATTGAAGTCATCGGAGTATTACATCTGAGATAGGATCACAGGTCTTGGTGTACTGTACAGTTCCAAAGCAACATAGAGATATTTTTATTTTTTAAGAATGAAAGAATATACAGGTGAAGAATCTTCACCTCCAGCTTATTTCACCCAACCTAACCCCATCCTCCGAATAGTGTTAAAGTGATTAATCTTCAGGTAAAATAAGCAGGAGATGGAGATTCTTCAGGTGATCTTGCTATAAACATTCACCCACCTGAAAAGTTACACTCAAGTACTGGAGGCAAAATTTAACTTAACCACATTTGTCTTATTTCAGTAATCAAGTTTTTTTCCTGTGTTCAAATAATGTCTTAATTAGCCTTTTTGAGAACTATATTAGGTACTGCATTGTGTTTCTCGTATAGAATCAGATGTGAATGGGTCTTGGCAACTGTGTGTAAGAGACGTGACCAAGCACCCAAGTTAAGTGTAGTAGGCCGTATGAAGTGTTTTTTTTTAGTTTCATCTTCTCTTAATCATTACTGTATATCACTTGAAACAGCGGCCATACCCTGTACAGTACATTATAAAGATATGTTATTACTGTACTATTATTGTTGGTTATTTGTGTTGAATATTATTATTTTTATTTCCACAATGAAACTTTTATACTTTGATATGAAGCTTTAATTAAGTATTGAGAAATACGCTCGTTCAATTTGTGGTTAGGTCAATAAAATATAATAGTGTTTCCGCCCGGGATCGAACCGGGGACCTTGCGCGTGTGAGGCGCACGTGATAACCACTACACTACGGAAACAACTGTTATAAGTTTGTTGAAATACTGTACGTATATGGTAATTACGTAGTTCTAATTACTGTATATATATATATATATATATATATATATATATATATATATATATATATATATATATATATATATATATATATATATATATATATATATATATATATATATATATATATATATACAGTTTACATTGACTTAGCATGTACTGTATATCGGTAATGCAGGTACAGGTATACAAATAGACAATGCAGGGATACATATAGGCAATGCAGGTGCAGGTATACATGTAAACAATGCAGGTGCAGGTATACATGTAAACAATGCAGGTGCAGGTATACATGTATACAATGCAGGTGTATGTATACATATAATAATTTTCACTTGTGCTTTAATGAATATTGTAATTATTGACGGTCTGCATTTGGATGGATAGAAAAGTCTGTTGATCTTTGGGTCACCATTGTGTGTGTCAGTCAATTAGTCTATCAGTTAGTCATTTAGCCTCTCAGACAGCCAATTGGTCTATCAGTCAGTCAGTGAGTCATTTAATCAGCCAGTCTACCAGTCTGTCAGTCAATCACACTAAGTATCAGTCAGTCAGTCAATTAGTCTGTGAATCACACTTGAGTCTATCAGTCAGTCAGTCGATTAGTCTGTGAATCACACTTGAGTCTATCAGTCAGTCAGTCGATTAGTCTGTCAGTCAATCACACTCACTCTATCAGTCTGTCAGTCATTCACAGCCAGTCTAAAGCATTCTGAGTTCGTCGATCCGTCAATAATAGACTTACGTGTGGAGCAAGTTGTTGATTCTCACCCAGGACGGGAAGTTGGTGCGGTACAGGTTGTAAACGTGTGCCTCACTCCCTGTACGGTCCACCACCAGGTTCGGCGGTCCAGTTGATGGCCGGTCCAAGTACCTGAGGGCATATGGAGGAGAGAGTGAGTGAGTGAGGGAGGAGTTTGAGTACGATTACACACCCTAACCCTATCTAGGAAGGTAAGGTTAGGTCAGGTCAGGTCAGGTTAAGATTATGTCTGGTTATGGTATGCTAGGTTAGTTTAGGTCAGGTTTGGAAAGATTAGGTTAGGTTAGGTTATGCTGCGGTAGGTTAGATTTGATCAGGTTATGCTATGTTAGGTTAGTATAGGGGTGTTTAATTTTATCAACTGGTGAAATATGCTGAGGGGTGCCTAATCTTCAGGTGAATCTAGAATGCTATAGGAAAATACTGACACAGTTACAATTATCCAGAACGTAACCTCCCTACTCCTCCTCATTCTCTTCTCCTTTCTCCCCTCTTTCTCCTCTTCTTTTCTCCCTTCCTTCTCTTCTCCTTTCTTCTCTCTTCCTTTTCTTATTTTCTCCCTTCTCTTCTCATTTCTTCCGTCTTCCTCCTCTTCTTTTCTCCCTTCTCTCTTTTCTCCCTTCTCTTTTTTCTTCCCTCTCCCTTCCTCCCTACTCTTTCACTTATTCTTTTCTCCACTCCTTTTCATCTTTCGTATCTCCTTCCTCCCTTCTTCCTTTTTCTTAACCTCTTCCTCCTCGTCTTCCCCGCCCCCCTCCTCGTCTTCCCCGCCCCCCGTCTTCCCCCTCCTTCCCCCTCCTCCACACTCACCTCTCCCTCAGTAGTCGCAGTAGGTCGGGGTGGTCAGCCTGGAGGGGTCCCTGGGCGCGCCACACAGTCTCCATCATCAACTTGTCGTCTCGTAGGTTCCTCTGGTGCCACAGGGGTGAGTGAAGGACCTCCTCGTCGTCCGTCCCCGAGTTGATCACCATTATCACCATCACCGCCGCCTAAGGGAGAGGGTTTTTTTTTTGTCTGTACTCGCGTCGTCTTTGTCTTCTTCCTACCGCGTTGTGTGAGGCGAGTTGGGGTGATCTTGATTCTTTTTTTGGGGGGGGGAGGGGCATTTTTGGATAAGTGAACACCAGAATAGGTCATGCTTGTTACTGGAGAGAGCGAGTCTGTTTTACACTTCCTTTGGGTTTCTCAGTAACATAACAAGAATTAAAAGGATTTTGATAAAGGAAGGAAATAAAAACGTATAATATTCCATTAAGAAATAATTAATGTTGAATAATTAATCTTACCAGTATTAAGACGATGATCGAGACAGACAAATGTTTCTTCCTCCATTGCGTCCTCCTCATGGTGTGTGGGAGCTGGGGATGGTATGGTTAGCCTCTAATTGGTTTTATCTGTAGAAAAAAGGCAAAAGAGATTTCCTATTACTGGTGCTGATAAGTCCTTAGAGCGAGTCTGGCCTAGGGGGCCCAGGGCCATAGCCAGGCCATATGTTGGCCAGACGAGATGACCAACCTGTTGATAACTGTTAGTACCAATGAGCAATACTTCCACACTGCCTCACAGATGTATATAACTCAGAGTGTGAGCAGTGTCACACTACACCCTCAGTCCTCACCAACATGGGTTGACGGACTCTGGCGAAATAACCCCTAAGTGAATTGATCTAGTCGTTGGCGGTAAGCTTAAGTGTACCTCATAGTAAACCCCTTTCACCATAACTAGCCATCTCCTTTGATAGAAATGTTAGTTTTATTTTGTTAATATATTAGAAAATATAATATACTATGATTACACCACTTATGAGGAAGAATACAAAGTAACACAATAAGTCTTGAAGTAAATTACTGTATTTCCTCATCCTCACTAAGGGGTGGTGGCGGCGATTGGTAATTAAGATATAACCTCCCGACCTGGCTACGAGACTAAATGATGCAGGCGATGAAGGTTAATATTGAAAGACTAACAGCCAGCAATTTTATATTTTTAGAAACCACCAGTAAATATATTGCTGTTGTGTTTTAAATAATAAAATAACTGTTATTCGAGATGTTATTGGTACAAAACAGCTTCACGTCGGGTTGATACGCCCACTAACTTGGCTATACTGTACATTGTCCCTGTACGAGAGAGAGAGAGAGCCTTCCAACAGTCACCAGCACACTTACTCCAATGTGTCCGTGGATGGTGTCTGTCGAGAGAACACCTGGATTATTTCCGTTGTCTCACCTGTGGAGGACAAGTCAGTTACCACAGGAAGGGATATTTCTCACCACCATCACAAATTCATCCTTACACTATACCAACCATATGTCACTATATTTCGCACCACTATGACACTATAACAACCATTTGTCACTATATTTAACACCACTATGACACTGTAACAATACTTCAAGTCTATAACACGACACACTATCACCACCACCAATTCATCACCACACACCGTAATAATAACTCACTATCACCATCATAACACCATAACAACTACAGATACACCGTCTCCTCGCTCCCGTAACTGAGGTGTAAGTGTACCGTAGTGTCTGGCCACGTCATCTACACCCCACCCACCCCCTTGACGGCCGCCCATTGAGGAAAAACGAAATATACACAAAGCCAACACTCACTACTACTGCTGCTGTCTAAACTCACATGCTCAATCTTGGAGAACAAAATCATGATCATAGTTATCGTGGTCATTGTCATTGTCATTATTATTTAACTTTTTTGCCGTCTCTTGGTGTAAAAAGTTTGTTATTTCCGTGTTGTTATGGTGTATTTTCGTCGCCTCGATGACTATGAACATTTTGGTAGTGGTGGTGTTGATTGGTGGTGATGATGGTAGTGGTAATGATGGTGGTGATGGTAATGATGGTAGTGATAGAGATGATGGTGGTGGTGATAGCTTTGTCGACTATCCTTGGTCAAGTTGCCTTACTGTTCACCAGTGTTGGTTTACGTATACTGTCACGGCACACAGGTAACAGTATACTCACATTATTATTATTATTATTATTATTATTATTATTATTATTATTATTATTATTATTATTATTATTATTATTATTATTATTATTATTATTATTATTCAAAGTTATTAAATAGTGAAATGTAAACGAAGAGAAATACCGGAATAGTTATGTTACCCATTCTTTGAGTAGAGTGAGAGTGGTTTCGTTTTCTTTGAAGGTGGAGAGTAAAAGAACGAGGGTAAGGAAGAGGGTGACTGAGGTAAAATTTCTGCTAATGATGTTAACCCGACACAATTGTGGATGACGAAATGATTGTTATGGTATTTAGATCCTCAATAATTACATCTGTGTGTGTTGCATTAACCTCTTTCTCTCTGCTTTATCCTCTTCCCTCACTCCCTTCCCCCTCTCTCTGCTTTTTCGTCCTCCCTTTTTCTCTCTCTCTTTCTACGTTCTCCTCCTCTCCTTCAATTCTTCTCTCCTGTCCCTCCCTCCCTCCCTCCCCCCCCTTCAACCAGCTGGGAATCCTCACCAAGTGTCACTCATCACCATTACACAAAGGACCTGTCAGAAAGTACGCCAGCTGGTCCCACCCCTCCGTCACTCCCAATACTCACCCGTCACTCCCGACCCTCACCCGTCACTCCCGACCCTCACCCGTTACTCCCAATACTCACCCGTCACTCCCGACACTCACTCGTTACTCCCGGCACTCACCCTGTTAACCTCACCGTCACTCACCCCCAAACATGGGTAGAGACACGAGATGGAGGAAGATACGGGAGACACCTCACCTCATCCTACCTCACCTAACCTCATCCTACCCCCATCCTGGCTTAGCCTAACCTCACCCTACCTAACCCGGCCTAACCCAACCTCACCCCACTTCACCCCACCTCACCCCAGCTGCCCTCTCCACCGCCTTCCTGGAACACAAATTTGACTCTGGACTTGACGATCTCTGGACATAAATAGAATCTTTCTTGTTCGGCTCCCAACCCTTCTGTGTTGCCTGCCAAGTGTGTTCATGAGTGTGTCCTCGTGTTTAAAGAGAGGCGACACACACACACACACACACACACACACACACACACACACACACACACACACACACACACACACACTTCTTCTCTTCTTTTCTCTCACTTCCTATTCGCGTGTAGGGGAAAATGAGGACTTGGAGAGAGAGAGAGAGCGAGAGAGAGAGAGAGAGAGTTAGTTATGAGTTGATTCTCCACCTTGTCAGAGAGATGCCTACGTGATCAACTCCAGTGACGTCATACCAAGGGAGGGGTAGGGGGGGTTTATGGGGGCTGGGGGTAGGAGGGGGGTGTTTCGAGGGCTAGGTGAGGGGAGAGAGAGGAGTTCCAAGGGCCAGGGAAGGGGAATTAGCATAGGGGGGGGTGGTTAGGAAGGGAGAGAGGAGGGGAATGATAATGAGTTCGTGGAGGGAGGGGAGCTTAAGGGGGGAGGGAGGGGGAGAGGGGAAGGGGGAAATCGACCCGGACGATGAGAGAAGATTTGCTCAGAATAATCAATAATCATAACCCAGTATAGGAATTATTATTTGTATTATTATTATTATTATTATTATTATTATTATTATTATTATTATTATTATTTTTTATTATTATTATTATTATTATTATTATTATTATTTGTTGTTGTTGTTAGGATTGGTTTGCTTTGGTTAGGTTAGGTTAGGTTTGGTTAGATAAGGTAATGTTAGGTTAGGTTAGGTTTGGTTTGGTTTGATTTGGTTAGATAAGGTAATGTTAGGATAGATTTGGTTAGGTTAGGATAGGACAGGTTTGGCTAGATAAGGTAATGTTAGGTTAGACTTGGTTAGGTTAAGTTATTCCGCCAGTTTGTGTCTCATGCAACAAAACCTTCGGGATATATACAAAGAATGAAGTCACGGCGGAACTCCTTATAAGAGCTTTGTTGTTGTGGCGAAGGAGAGACAATGATGGAGAGAGAGAGAGGCAGAGGAGAAGGAAGAGAATTAGTGGAGGAGAGGGTTTGGGAGGGGACCAGAATGGGGGAGAGAGTAAATGGAAAGAAAATACAAGATGGCTCCCCTCTCCCCTCTCTCTCTCCCCTCTCCTCCTACTCATCTCTCCCTCTCATCCCTTCACCTCCCACTGGTAGAAACACAAGACTCTCTCTCTCTCTCTCTCTCTCTCTCTCTCTCTCTCTCTCTCTCTGGACTGAGGGGAGCTGGGCGAGGGGAAGTGAGGAAGAAGGAGAGGGAAGGAAAGAAGTGGACGAAAGGAAGGAGGTAGGGAAGGAAGGAACGCACTAAAGAGGGAAGGAAGGAAAGAGACCTTCCCCTTTAATCCGTCCCCTACCGACCCCTCCCCTTATCCCTAGCCTCCCCCCTCCCTCTACTCCCTCCCTCCCTTACCCCCTCCCTCCCCCTCCTCTACTCCCTCCCCAAACCCACCTGACTGATGACGCCAAGGGGAATTCCCAGTCCAAGAGTGTTACACTGTGAGAGAGAGAGAGAGAGAGAGAGAGAGAGAGAGAGAGAGAGAGAGAGTGTCCTTTGTTTGAGGAGGAACTTCAAGATGTACCTTGACCAGATACCATACATATATACATACCCCAGTGGTGTGTGTGTGTGTGTGGTGTGCGTAAACTCTCATGATCAGCACCATAATGTTTCACCTTCATTCACATTTGATTGCATCATTCATCCCTGCCTGGAGGACCCAGCCGACACACGCCTCCTCCTCCCCTTCTTCTTCTCCTCTTAATTTTAGTCGCTTCTTTCCATCTTGTAATTTTCCTCCTAATTTTTCTTCGTCTCTCTCTCTCTCTCTCGGCCCGGGGATGAGTAACTTGCAAGATGAGCGTGCTTGATCTCCTGGCATGTGTGGGGGGTGGCAGGGGGGAAGTTTAGAATAGATTGGGGGTGGGTAGGGATTGAGGTTGATCTGGTAGGGGTGTGAGAGAGGAGGTGGGTGTGAGAGAGGAGGTGGGGGGAGAGGGGGAAGGTCAGTTTGATATATGGGTGAATTTGTTACCGTGTCCTGGGCGGAAAGGTGGCGTTGAGAGCGAAAAGGGCGTAACGAAAACTTAGTTAAAAATAATAACATAGAATTTATGATATTATTATTATTTTTATTATTATGCTAAGTTCATGTTTGCCTTTATGTCTCATGAGTTAAGGGCGTAGAAGCCTGAAGAGTCAGTGGTTTTATGTCATCAAGTTATTGGAAGCTCCAACAACTTTCCCTGAATACGAATTCGCAACTTTCGATTTACAACAGGTGAACAGAGACCAAAGGGGCTAGGAAGTATGCCCAAACAACTTTTCCACCGGCCCGGGAATCGAATGCGTGACATCTCGCTTGCGAGGCAAGAGCGGTACCGCTCTACCCTAGGTTAGATTAATTTGCTTTACTGTATAATGTGACCTGACCCTTACGCCGTTATGCAGTGCCTTCCCCTCCCTCCCTAACCATACCTCCCTTACCCCATCCCCCTACCCCCACCTCCCTAACCACACCTCCCTTGCCCCCACCTCCCTTACCCCTTCCCTCTACCCCCTTACCCTCACCTCCCTAACTCCACCCCCTTACCACACCTCCTATTCCCTTGGACATGCAGCGGGGCATAAATCACACTTACTCTCTCATGTACGGGTGTAGGGCTTGTTCATAGTTTAAGGATATTTTCATAAAGCATTTTACTATAACAGGACTTGCCTTATCACTCCTGCAGGATACTGTTATGGTAGGACCTGCCACCCCCCCCCCCTCTTCACTCTGCTGGGTATTGCCTATTTAATGTTTTTGTACCTATAGGATTCCTTACCTCCATCCTTCAGGACATGGCAATTTGAGTCTGGGATTGATGTCTTTTTGGTATGAATCCTCGAGTTTGGGCATGAAAGTCTCTGTTGAAGGATATGTTAAAAGAGTCCTACAGTAAAGGATCTCTCTCGTGTCCTTTTGTGGTGTATCCTACCTACCGTTAAGGGGTCATTTATCTCATTCTACGCCCCACCAGGATATGACCATAGGTGATGTGGGAGTCCTACCAGGTCCTATTCTCAAACCTGAGTCCTGTCCCTCCTGCCCTGTGACCTCTTTAACAGCTCGTGACCCCAAGTTAAGGAAGGTCATTAATAATACTCAGGAAAACAAAAATAATACTGGAATCTTTATTGAAATCAAATAGGCCTATTTATATCACATAACATCTCGTGCTAAAGTTACATAGGCCTTCTTATCACACACATACACACACACACACACACACACACACACACACACACACACACACACACACACACACACACACACACACACACTTACTTGCTTGCTTATGGCAGTCCATCTAAGTTGATGACGACGTTGCTCCAGATGAGATGATTGATGAGCTGTGTTATTCCTCTGATGCCACCGTAGATGACTATGGAGTCCAACCCTGGAGGAGCAGATCTTGTTGCATAGGTGACAGGGATGTTGTTCATCGAGAGGAATTATGCCTTGAGCCCTCTGGTGTCGCTGGGCTCGTTTAGTGGCTCTCTTTTGGTTCAGTGAGGTCTCAAGTGTTTCCGCTCC